AGACTAATAATACCTCCAAAACTGATATTTGCATGGCTACCAGCAAAACGTCGATCCAATGGCTCCTTAAGCCTGCCCCAAGATTTACTCGCTCCGAAAAAATGAGCCAGTTACCCACATATCTGCAAATGGAAGACACACCACCAATCTCTCTCCCACACTTGTCCACGCCATTTTACCGAACTAAAGACGTGGTGGGCTTAAATTAGTTTTGGGTGCAAAGATTAGGGAGCTGCTGTGGAGGAAACTAATTTTAGAGAAACAATTACTGAAGAGAGGCCCCAATAAAGAGTTTTGAGGTTAATTTTTTAGGCAGCTCTTAGAGTTGCTCTAACACCAAATATTTTATTCATTTGAGTTCATTATCCTTCTTTCTATCTCTAGTATTTTTCTGAGGACTATTTTGAATTATTTTTAACTGCAAAATTAAATAATTTCAAAATTAGAAACCCCTAACCCTAACATATATATACATGTCAGTGTTCCCCTCATCGCGCGGATCATTTGATCTAGAATCAATCCATTTTGTGAGCCACCACCCCAAACTCTATAGATCCAACTGAACTTTTTGCTCGTAATGTTTTCTGGCAAGACTTCAACAACCTTTTTTGCCCATCTGTGTCCTCACCAACTTCCACCACCACCACAAGGTTGCTCCACCCAAGCAACCTCACTCCAGTGTGCCACCCATCATGTTGTGCTATCTCTCCTGCAGTTGCGCCGCCGTCTAGCTTCATAGCAAAGCCGTCGCCTGGCTCAAGCTGAGCAGAGCTGCTAACCACCCTCCAAGCTATTGTCGTCTCGATATCTAAGGTTATTTACAAACAAGTCCCTGACTGGATTATTTCTTTTAAAAATGATTAATTCATTTCAAAAATTGATGCTAATGTCATTAATCCAATTGATGATATCATAATTTGTTTTTAGATTTAAAGATGATTTTGAAAATGGCAATTTTACAAGAAGATCTCTAAGCTTCTCTGTAATTATTTTGAGGTAAAAATTTTTACATTTTAGTCTCTAGTTTTGAAAAATATTTACAAGGTCATTTTTATTTACAAACAAGTCCCTAAAACTTCAAAAGCTTAACAGTAGCTTTAGGTGGTTTTTGCGCTCATGTGATTGTAGAAACAAGCTATATGTTTTTTTTCTAAATGCATGGTGTAATGTTTTTATGTTTTTTGTTATGTTTCTACCATTGTTCGATTAAACAATTCCTTGCCTGCTTAAACACCGTTTAAACGTTCCATGGTGGTCTGTCGTTTCCGTTAATCAACCATTTATCCCCGTTTAAACAGTCATTTTGCCCGTTTGGTTGAGTTCCTAGCCTGAATAATGCATGGTTAAATATACTGTAAATTGTTTATCAGTTATGATAACAATGGTTTGCACTGATACTTATTGTCCATTCAAGAGAAGTCGATTGAGGTTGATTTAGAAGAAAAGAGCAAGGTTTTGAACAACGTTTGGAGGCAAGTGTCCATGACCATACTTGTGCCTAATTAGTTTTATTTTTAGTTAGTTTAGTTAAACTTTTAGACTCCATGCATAGTCGTAATCTTGAAGATGATGAATTTTTTCGCTACATGTAAGAATTTTTACTATGTCTTAGATACATAGTAAAAACAATATATCGAGAAAAAACAAAATGTCTTATAATTTGGAACGAAGAAAGTATAAAGATATAAATAGTTGTTTTAGTCTGCACCACGACCCTGAAGATGTTGATTTTTTTTTGCTAAATCTAAGATTTGTATTGTATTATAACAACATATATGGCATAAAATTAAATTAATAGTATTTATAAGCGATGATGTCTTGTTTAAAATGTATAAACTTATCAAACTTGAAAAATGCATTATCATGAAATATTAATATAATTTAAAGTGAATTGTATGTATGTTCTATTGTTCTTTGTTAAGAGAACATTTTTTTCATAATTGATAAACTATTAAAATAGCATGTTTACTTTGTCAACATGGTGACACACAACGTTAATGCTTACATTTCATTTTAAAATGGTAGAATGTGTAATCTAGAAATATATATAGCATATTTTCATGGTTATTGAATTATTCATATAGTAGATTATATTGGTAAGACAAACATTTGTGGGATATTTAGTTAATTGCATAGGTGCATAAGTAAAGACACAAATTTAGCATATTTACATTGTTTAGATATATGTAATCTAAAAAGCACATTTAGTGTTACTTTGCAATATATTTCATAGTAACCTTAAATGCAATTTTGGGCATGTTTTCGTAATTAAATGCAATTTTAGGAGGCTTTTAAAATTTATCTTTCATAATGACAAACGTGGGGAATTTAAATGCAACTTTTGTGAAAAGTTTATGTATTTTTCACAACGATAATGCTACAAACAGGACGTCTGACGCTAGCGACTCCCTCTAGACGGACGCGTGGCGTGGCGTGCACCACAACTTTGACTCCCTCCGTCTCTTATTCTCATTCGGACACCGCTCGCTCACTCTGCTTGGCCTTCTCCCACCGCGCCCCGACCTTACGCCGCTCGCTCGCTCCTCACTCCAGCACCGTCACGCGCCCCACCTGCGCCGCTCGCTCCTCACTCCTCGCGCAACTCCTCTCCCCCGCCCGTCGCGCGCCCCACTGGCACCTCGCTCCTCACTTTGACAATGCGCCGCGCTGCCCGCTCCCTCTAGTAGCACACACCACCCGCCAGGCTGAGCCAAGGCCGGTGCTGCTAGCGCTGGCTGGTGGTGGTGCTCGCGCGCGCCGTTAGCGCTAGGTGCTGGTGGTGCTCGTGCGCCACTGCTCGTCGCCGGCTCCGACCCCGACGGTTGAAATCGACCAGCCCAGGCTTTCTCTTCCCTATGTTGCAAATGTATGTTCCAGGTGTTTCAGTCATTTTAAAGGTATGTTGTTGTTGTTGTTGTTTCTTGTAGATGTTGCAAAGTAGATCGGGGATGTTGCATATGTTGCAAGTGTTTCGGAGGCTTGTTGCAAGCGTTTGTTCAAAATGTTTCATCTGTTCCAGATGTAAGCGTTTTTTATCTGGATGTTTGCATATGTTTCACACATATGTTGCAACAACATGTTCTATATGTTTAATATGTTTCAAACGAATGTTGCAAGTGTTCTATCTGGATGTTGCACATGTTACAATGACTATGTTGTAAGTGTATGTTCCAAATGTTTCATCTGTTTTAGTCGTATGTTGCAATTGTTTCATCTTAGTGTTGCAAAAGTAGATCTCAATGTAGAGCTGTTTAGCAAGGAAGAGAGAGCTAGTGCGGGAGCCATGGCGGCGTCGGCTATAAGCTGGCGGCAGCGCTCCACCGGAGGATGCGCAGGCATCCGCGCTGGCGCACGTGGCCCATTCCCATACGACATGCTGCCTCCGCTGGCCCTGTCGGAGGTCCTCGAGCAGAAGCTTGTGGCATCTCCCCGCGTGACGGAGATAGACCCTAACTATGGAGGTGACATGGGCGCGACGAGGTTGAGACCCCCGGCGGGTGCAGCGAGCGGGCGGGCTCCCCTGTTACGCGGGCGCGGCGGACGCTCTGTTACGCGGGGTTTGGGAGCGAAGCTGCGTTCGGGCGCGGGCCGGACGCCCGGACGCTAGTTATTCTCTTTTCACAATGATCGTGGCAGGGCGGTATAGTTTTTTTTTAGAAAAACAGAATAGGTCAAATGGTTTTGTTTTAGGGCTCAAATGGTTGAGGAAGACGCTTGGACGCCCGATAAGACAATGAGAGGCGGAATTGTTTTGTCTTCGATAGCCCATGAATTTGAGGTAGATAGGCCACAAATCCAGCCTCTGGAAAAACTTGGAATGTCACTTTCCAATTCAAATGCGCAGCCAAATAAGCCGACCCATGAAACTGATTTCAATTCAGCCCAATTAATTCTATAGATCCAAACAGGCCGTAATCAGTGCATCAGGTGGTCCGGACGAGCCAGCCGTGTAGAATGTAGGTGAATACAAACAGGTGAGAGAGACCAGACCACTAGAGGCAAAGAGCAAGCAGACGCAGCCGAAGCCCAAAAGCCCAAAACTGTTTGTCCTTTGTCTTCCATTGTCGTTCTTAACTTATCCTTTCACAAACCACGACGAGCTGAATGAACTGCTTCTGCTTGAGAGAGACGACGGATGCATGCGGCGGCTTACGGCAGAGCTTGTGCGGCGCAGATTGCAGGGAGGAAGGGGACGAGTAGAGGAGTCGTCATTCACCGACCGAGCAGGACCACGACCACCTCGGATCCTGGATCGTGGACGAGCTAGCTCGCGAGTCCGGCCACGGCCGCGACGTCGCTCGATACCTTGGTTTAATCGTCGGGGACGGGAGACCGGAGATAGCGAGCGAGTCCGGCCACGGCCACAGAAATTTTGGAAACAGCTTTTGTGCCGCAGATTGCAGGGAGGAAGGGGACGAGTAGAGGTCTAGAGGAGTCTTCATTCACCGGCCGAGCAGGACCACCTTGGATCCTGGCTCTTGCACGAGCTAGCGAGCGAGTCCGGCCATGGCCACGGCCACGACGTCCTGCTCAATATATACCTAGGTTTAATCGGAGATAGCGAGCGAGTCCGGGCACGGCCAGTGAAATTTTGGTTTCCAGTCAGTAGTGACTTTCACCACTTCCTACAGCTTATCTATCTGCTACCTCCTGTATCTATCTACAAAGTCCCCGGCACATCACATATAGTCCAACCATGCCGTGGCTCCATGTGGCTGGCTCAGACGATAAGGCGCGCCACGGGGACGCGACATGTGGCGGCGGACGCGATCAGGATAGGCCAGGCTGGCCGGGTGCGGCCACGGGAGAACGGTGGCCACTCCTCCCACATCCGCTTTCATCCTGCCCGAACGAGAGCCATCCATCGCCATGGACGCACGCGCGCTGCCTCTTCTATATATGCCGTCGGTGGGGGAGCCTACAGGACGACCCAAGCAGAAGCACAGCAAGGCAGCAAGCTCCCTCGCTCCCTCACTACTACTAGCTAGTACATACCAGCCATGGCGCCCACCGTGATGGCCTCGTCCGCCACAGCCGTCGCTCCGTTCCAGGGGCTCAAGTCCACCGCCAGCCTCCCCGTCGCCCGCCGCTCCACCACCAGCCTTGCCAAAGTCAGCAACGGCGGCAGGATCCGGTGCATGCAGGTAACAAGCTAGCAACCGCCTTTCGTTCTTTTCTCCGGCCATCTTCTTTGCAGCTGCAGCAAATGCAACCCAAACACGTACATCGATGCAGGTGTGGCCGGCGTACGGCAACAAGAAGTTCGAGACGCTGTCGTACCTGCCGCCGCTGACGGAGGAGCAGCTGCTGAAGCAGGTGGACTACCTGCTGCGCAACAACTGGGTGCCCTGCCTCGAGTTCAGCAAGGAAGGCTTCGTGTACCGCGAGAACTCCACCTCCCCGTGCTACTACGACGGCCGGTACTGGACCATGTGGAAGCTGCCCATGTTCGGCTGCACCGACGCGTCGCAGGTGTACAAGGAGCTGCAGGAGGCCATCGCGTCCTACCCGGACGCCTACGTCCGCATCCTCGGCTTCGACAACATCAGGCAGACGCAGTGCGTTAGCTTCATCGCCTACAAGCCCCCGGGCAGCGACTAAAGTGGCTAGCTAGCTCCTGCGTGAGCTGCTAATGGCATGCCTGCCTGCCTACCTGTTCGGTTTTGCATCCTTCGGGTCACGCACACCTTGGTTTCTTTTTTACCTTTTTCTCCTGGTTCCTTTGCTTCTCTGCCGCTGATGTATCCATTGTTGCAAGCATGGCATCATCCATCTCTCCCCCTACATATACCTTCTACAAACTACTGCAACTAGCGTTGGGTGAGGAACATGTGAATGCAAGCTCCGGCTATCATATATGTGTAATATATATGGCATTGGAGTTTGCTCTGGTTATTCACAGAGCAAAGAAGTACTTTCCATCCATATAACATGTACTTTCCTTCCATACAACAATGGCTAGAAGCCATCTTGTAATTTTGCTTATTTATTACTTTCTTTCCTTTTTTTGTCTCTTGAGCTTTTCTGTAAGCTGGTTCTCCTTTCTTAATAAATAAATGCACAGTAGGGGGAAATCCCTCCTGTTTCCATCAAAAAAAAAAATCTCTGAACTTCATTCTCATGTCTTTAAGATCATATCTTATTGGAGTTGTGAATTCTCTGTACCAACGACCGTGATGCTATTATTAATAAGTGCATATACATATCTTGTGCAATGGAAAACGCAGAGTTCAAACAAAATAAACCAACAGAATTCATTGGCAAAGAAAGTGCAGATGCAGTTTTATGTTTACATCATACATACAGTACCAGTAGAACACTAGCAGATCTTGGATGCATCAGAAGTTCAGAACCATGTATAGATAGGCACATCCATCGATCAGGAGATAAATAAAACCAGAGAGAAAATATGTGGTACAGAGCGCACGAGCAAGTCATATTCTGTAAAGTTTGAATGATTGGCAAATTTGGATCTACTCCCACTGATGATCAGCTTTACTGATGGAGACTGCAAAATAGGCGGCCGTCGTTTTCTTACATGTACGACAAAGGCACAATAGTACTTGGCAAAAAATGTAAAATGACATGAGAGTCGAATTAATACAGAATTACTAACTATGCTATTATGTGGAAAAAGATAATCAGATTTCTGTGTTAACTTTGCACATTGGCAAAACAGTAAAAATTAACACAACTTCTACTTGCTTCCTGACCTTTATTTCTATGTACTTTAAGAATCATGGTACCTATACAACCGATGGTCAAACTAATAATATCTGGTACTCTATTTATTATGTCTGCTTATCTGAATCTTTTGACTCTTCATAGTCTTGGATCTTGGTCATAGATAGGAATAAAGGATATTTCCTTCTTAGGCACCACATTCTTAGCTTAGGAAATGCGCTTTCTTTGGCTTGATTGTGGAGGAAAGCTTTTCTTGCTAATCTGGTGATACCGTAGTAAAGCTGAGAGGAATCAATTTAGAAGTCCATAACAGGTAGATTTAGGAGTGACCAGCAGTGAATGAATGCCCGGTAGCAAAGGACACAGCTTTACTTAACGAGGGTTCTCTGCCGCACCATTCAGGTATCCACCAGATTTCATAGGCTTGCGTATCAATGGTAGTGAGCCGAGTGGAACTGCCAGCCACAACAGCCATTGGCGCAAGGTTGATTTGACCAGACGTGAAACAGGAACCAAAAGGGCAGCTTTCGTATACAAAACGTGAAAGTTGAGAGCTTTATAGTGACACTAGGGAAAGTTAAGGACCAAGGTCACACATGGAGGAACCACAAAGAAAAAAAAACAATCCAACTTTCAGTATGGCACTATTTTCCATAGGTACAATACAACCCATTGGTAAATGACTCTGAATTTCAGTCGAACTTGAAACTGAGATTTCTCAGTCTTCCTTTGTTACAAAATGATTCAGGGATGGCAATTTTCAGCACATTCTTGACAGACTGAAATAAAACCTCATGCATCTTCGATCAGTCCTCTTAGTTACTTTGTGTATTTTCTTCTTGAAATGCAAAGGCCTTAGTTTAGGCCTTCGCTTTTCTACAAAAGCAACCATACTTTAGACTTATTTGGAAGGTAGACATAATACCAACTTATATTTTGTTTTCTATCCAACTTACTTTAGAGAATTGACAGAAAATAAGGTGTGCGTCACAAAAAGGCAGTGTTCACTCCAACTAGGTGAAACAGTTCTGAATATTAACGAGTGGAAAGATTAGGAGTCTTGCAGTTTCAAAAAATATAGTAGTCGGGGCATCATAGCTTACTTGATCTGATTGTGGACATCTCAACCTTACCGTTTCGATAAGAAAAATTCAGTAGTAGCTCATGCATTTTAGCAATACTTTTATACAAAGAAGCATTTATGTCCTTTGAGTTTTGTTCTTTCGCTCATTTACAGCTTGCATAAGTGCTTACTGTATAAGTAGTTGAGCTGATCTGCTGACAATGGGATGTAGGTTCCACTGAAATTGACGTTCTTGCCTTTGTGTCAGCAGATGAACAGATTCTGTTTCCTTTTCTGCAGTCTGTTCTATGTTTCCATACATATTTTGCTCTATTTTTCCCTCCATAACTCTCTACCGAATTATAACGTCCCTGCATAATTATGGCTTGAGCAAAATTAAAACATTCCGTGATGCCTTGTCATCTGCCCCGCCTTGGTGACATTCTACCTGTTCTGAAGTACCTCCGTAAACCTCAGTATCAACTTTCATGACATTAGAGTGATCTAAACCCTTGTCCTCAGGCCAAACATCAGTACCAGGACTTTCATGAACAAGAACTCAAGAAGGGTCCTCTATCTCTCACAAGAGGTGGTGCAATCGATGTGATATTTCAGATAAACTTTAGCATTACTTAGGATTTCACAAGATTGACTTATCCACTGATCCTCAAGACTAGTACCAGAAAGCTCTACACTATGGGAAAGAGCAGAACATGCTAACATCAGAGACTGAAAAAATATTGTCACCCACAATGAGATTCAGTCTGCATGAATCTGTTGTATGCATACTTGCGTGAATTCAACATGCTTGGCAATGCTTTTCTCGTCAGCAAAACAACCAGTACCAGCCTGGACAAAAGGATTCACAAGAAGTTCACTGTTTCGGGCCTTCTCATGTATAGCATTCTGATAACTGATAGACTGACCACATTCTGTTACAACTTCAGTTCTGTTGACTTTTAATGTTCTATTCTTGAGTTTGGGACTTTGGGATGGGATTTGTTCTTGATCACTAAATATTCTGACAGTTTACCAAAGAAAGACACATCAGGATTGTGGGGTTTTTCATGTGACCCTTCAATCACACCACATATGTGTGAATCAGGAAGTTCATCAATGTTGGATTAAGGTTCCAGCTGATTTGCCCCTCCTTCAGATGATACAGTCATACAGAACTACAAACCAATCCAATCAACAAGCTTGAATAACTCAACTGTTCCTTTAGTAATAGTCTGTCAACTCTAATTGTTTGTTTGTAGAAATGTTTATTCCGCAGAGCCTTCAAAAAACAAGTGACCTAGTAGCAATGAAAAAATGGCACAACATCATATCACAACTCAAGCAACATTTGCTGCCTTTCTAGATATAAACACTACAGGAAACCGGGACTTTGCCCAGTGCTGGAATCTTTGCCGAGTGCCAAATATCGGGCACTCGGCAAAGGCCACCTTTGCCGAGTGCCGCACTCGGCGAAACTTGGCACTCGGCAAATAGGTCTTTGCCGAGTGTCTGGCACTCGGCAAAATACGACACTCGGCAAAGCCAAACTTTGCCCAATGCAAGACACTCGGCAAAGTTGGGCACTCGGCAAAGAGGCGCCCGGGATAACGGTGCCCGACGCCGACCTCTTTGCCGAGTGCCTTTTGTTTGGCACTCGGCAAAATATTGGCTTTGCCGAGTGCCTAGGGCTAGCACTCGGCAAAATATTCACTTTGCCGAGTGCCAAACCTTAGCACTCGGCAAAATAATTTTTTTTTTGTTTTTTGCCACCAACTTTTTTTATTAGATTTTCATTTGTACCATGAACAACATGTTCAAATTTGGCACAATTTCATTGCTGTTTGCTATATTTCTTCACTTTATTTCGTTTTTTTGTAATTATCCGAAAAAATGTAGGTTTGAACTGCAGGTGCATCGAATAATAGTTTTGATCCATTCCAAAAATATTATTCTTGTTTGTTAGTGTCACTTTATGCTAAATCAAGGAACTGTCTCCGAATTTCGATCAACGTGCTCAAGGGGCAACGTCGCGAACTTGCGTGCGAGTGGTTATTTAATTCTATAAAATTCAAACGAATCCCGAAAATCATGAAACTTGGCGAGATGTCGTGATATCACATGCATATGCGGTGGTAAAAATTTGAAAACGTTTGGAGGGCGTCATCACGTATGGTGTTCACAAACCAGGACATCATCACCATACGTGATGACGCCCTCATGCGGGGCCATCTGCGCCACTCTGTTCCCGCGCGAGCTCGAACTGCCATGGCGAGATGGAGGGAAGGGAAGGGACGGGAGGGGAGGGGAGGGGAGGGGAGGGAGAGGAGAGGGCGACGCGCGCCACCCGAGGAAGGCGCGAGGTAGGAGCCAAAGCCCTGCGGCAAACCGCTGTCCGCTAGCCACCAGTGCCATTACAACATATGCAACACCCGATCCACTTTTGAAACATTTATATAAAACATTCGGAACATACGTATGAAGACAGATAAAATACTTGAAACATGCGTCTAAAACACTTACAAAAAAATCTAGGAAACACTTGAAAAGCCATTACAAAACATATGCAACATCTAGATAAAACACTAGCAACATATATGTGAAATATATGCAACATCCAAATAAACACACTTGCAACATACGTCTGAAAAAACAGATGAAACATTTGGAACAGACGCTTGCAACATACATATATAGCCATTGCAACATATGCAACAACCTAATCTATTTTTGCAACATGCATATGAAACACTTGTAACATATCTCTGAAACATCTGAAACACTTAAAAACATACGCTTGCAACATGCGCTTTCAGCAAACCCTGACAGACGGATGGGCGGGCGGAGCATAGCACAGCGAAATCCGGCGCTAGGTCGCGGTGGAGGAGGATGGAGCCGCGATGCTACGAAGGAAGTGGGGCCGGGGACGGAGATGGCGACGGAGGGCACTCGGGGCCCGCCACGCGAGCGCGGGAGGAAGGAGGCATGGTGGGAGGAGGGCGCGGGGGAGGCGAAGAGTGCGGTGTCGGGGAGCGGCTTGGAGAGGAGCGGGGATGGGACGCAGAGGAAGGCTGCAGGGAGCACCGGCTTGACGGTCGGTGCGGGCATCGTGACTGTGCATGACGAGGAGAGGTCAGTCTCTTGGAGTGGTCAGCAGCGAGGCGGAGTGGAAAACGCAGCAGCAACGAGGCGGAAGTGGGCGCACAGCGTCCGGACTGACGCTCGCGTCCAATCATTATCGATTGATCTTATCTTTCATATATCAGGATAATAACCCCGAAGGACTGCAATTGGAAGGAATTAGCACTCACCATAGAAGGGAAATGACTGGCCTTGGACGGAGGAAAGAAAAGAGGTAAAAGATACTTAGCGTTTTAGAATTAGTGATTCACTGATTCTGGCTTGCCCAAACAGTCAAACACCTAACACGCTAGCACACGGAGGTTGTGGAGCAAATCACGTCACACGCTTCAAAAGCTAACATTGTGATCAAAATATATCACATCCAAAATTACAAAATAAAAAATTCATCACATCCAATAGATCACACATGCATCCATTAGATCTAGAAAAAGATTGCCATATCTAAAACTTTCCATATTTATTCTATTTTTCAAAATAAAAACTTAAGTAAATATATATTTGACATAATAGATGATAGTAACCAACCGTTGTAATTAGGTAAATAGTTCAGTAAGCCCTAAAAACTTTTTCTACAAACATATATGTACTTGATTAATGCGACACAAGTTTTGATTTCATCCCACAGATTCTTTTCATTTAAAACACAACTGATCCGTTTGCCGCCAATTATAATTAACATGGGAATGCAAGAGGATATTAATTATTTGAGTTAATTCCCCATGTGCGATGGATAAAATTTCCAATCCCTTAACTGTCACTAGATTCACATGTCATAGACACATTTGGGACCATCTGCCATACCTACACACGGGATGGTATATAAGGAATAGTTTTTTTTTCAATGGCACTAGGGTGGCTCCCATTACTTCTCCATGCATACTTCATCCCCAAAGTTTATCTACCATACAGTCACAAAAAAAGTTTATCTACCATACCAGTCACATACTGCTGATTTTTTGCTACATCAGATCAAATTCTTTTCATCAGCAACTGCATAATAGTTATTGCTATTCTCTATGTTGTTACTCATTTACCCACAGCATTCATTCATATAAAAACAACCTCCCAATTCCCGCAAAGTGGAGAATTCATTTAGGGGCCGTTTGGACCCTTTTATTTGGAGGAATTAAAATCTACTTAATAAATTAGGCTATTTGACTTGAAATTTGACATCCCATCACTTTCAAAGTTCACATATAAGCCTATCTCAAATTTATAAGGTGGAAGATGAAAATTGATTCTATAGATCACCATTAGATGTTTCTATTTTGCAACTTATAACACACTCTTTAACTCGCTCCCCTACGGTAGAAATGCAATACATAAGTATCTCTCTCGTATAGCCACAAATAATATACACATATAATCCATATACAATCATATTAGCTTAATTAATATGTGTCTAAATCCAAGGATCCAAATATCATATGATAACAACAGAAATCACCAATATTCAGCCTGTTCGTTTGGCTGTGGCTTGTCGTAAACGATCGTAAATTTTCAGCCGGAACAGTATTTTTCTCTCACACAAACCAGCCAGCAGTACTTCTTCACGAACCAGCAACGATACGAACCAGCCAACCGAATAGGCTGATTGTTGTATATGAAAAAACTAAACAGCTGGATAATATAGTAATAAAATCCAAGCCCAACCGTGAACCTATCATCTGAACCAACTTAAAAAAAAGAGAGCACAGGTATGCTTTATTGTTACAAAAGGCTTTTCAGTGACACTGAAGGAAACAATCGCAAATTATCTTCATTCAACCATCCTTGTTATGAGATCCCTGTAGCCTTCGAGTAAACTGAAGTTGCATCAATATTCTAGCAACTCCAGCAACAAGAAACGTTGCTTTCATATATGCTGCAAAGTCAAAATGGCATGGCATCACCATATTTGTATAAAAATGGCAACAGCAATTGCAAAAAGTGATGAAATTTATAGATTCATGAAGGGGGAAAAATAATGCCATTTTTGAGACGTACCAGCTTTCTGTGCCATAATCTGCAATTTATGGCCTTAACAACAAAAGATCTGTAATTTACATGATACTAGCCTCATAGTAATGGGCTGTAAGTGCAACCAAACTGACCATGGGCAATCATGGATCAATAGGTGTAAGAAGACACATTTCCATTCTGAGCAATTGACAACTCGGTTAAACCACGCGCGACCTCTGGGAAACCAATATTACTGAAAGCAGGGTTCCGTTCATCTTTTGAACTTGGCTCATCTGCACAATTCTTCTGTTTCTCAGGAGCAGCAGGCGGCCCCTGGTTAACTTTCATCTGAATGTCATACTCTTGTACAGCAACCTCTGATGTGGGAGAAGTTTCCTTAGCCTCACTCACAGCTGGCATTGAAGCAACAGAACAGTCTGCAGCCTCACTTTCGCTTTCATCAGCTGCGTTGACCAACAATACTTTTGGCCTGTTTGGATGCTCCTTGGCAGCTTTTTCCCAGGTTTCTCTTGTTTCCGGAGCGACTCTATGATCTAGACTGACTTCCTTCAGACATATGAGGCGGTTGATTTCGATGTCAGCAAGACCAACTAGGTCTTTGCAGATTAGCTTAAGTGAGATGAGGTATGGCAAAGCTCCTTCTTCAATTGTTGGTAACGTGGCACACTGCAGGACAAAACACAGGTGTAGCAGCCCAGGGAATGCCTGATCTTCAATGATAAAATCTTCAAGCACATCCGCAATCAGCTTGAGATGCTGCAAGTCTTTCAAGTTAGCCAATGCTGCAAGGAGGCCCGCTGTCAATTTCTTTGATGAAAGGCACAACTCCCGGAGACCCCGCATCGATATGACAAACTGGGGAAGTTCCAGCAAAGTCCCCTTTAACTTCAGTGACCTAAGGTAACAAGGAGCCTTCAAAGAGTTCAGGATGTTTTCAGTGCCGTCATCGAAATGAAGTGATAGAGAACGGGGATCATTGCTCTCTTCTTTGTCATCATGGACGAACTTTTGGACAGCATTCACAACATCGGTGAAGTTGGTGCTTCTCTCACTCCTCTCAAGCCATATCTTAAGCTTTCTCAAATTCGTCATGTAATTCATGATTTGTGGAAATCCTTGACACCCATCCGTGACAAATCCTGCAAATGTCTCTAAGTTACTCTGTTCAGTCAAGAAAAACTTCTGGATGTCACTTGTTATCTTGACTTTATCAGAAAGTTGAAACTTTCCAAATAGATGGAGTAAACAGGGGAGCAGGAGGACCTCTATAGGTAGTATTTTCACCTTTGTTCTCCTCAAATCAAGTGTCTCCAAAAGTTTCAATTTTTCTATCTCCTTTGGAAGACTGGTAACAGTTTCCCCAAGGCTTAGATATTTCAGAAGAAAAAGGTTGCATATGTCTTTGAGGTGGTCATCTTCCAGGTCGGTACATTGTTCAAGATCCAAGACTCTCAGCAGCTGGTACTTTGGGAAACTCAAAATAGTTTTGCCAGCCTCCCCGAAAACCATCAGAGATCTGACAAGAGATAAGTCCATGTCCAAAGAGCTGCCACTTGTAGCACTATGGTGATGGAGGGAAAGCCGACGCACATATTTGCGTTCAACTTTATTGCCAGAAAGTAGGGTGATGAAGTCCTGGGAGGTGGACATTAGCAAAATGAACTCACGCATCATGCCATATGTTTTGCATGTCTTTACCTGATCATCGTTACATATGCTGATGGGCTCAATAATGTTCCGGTCTATGAGGGTGTTAAAATTTTCACTAGATGAAGGCTGTGCTTCTACAAATCCCTCTGCTAACCATCGCCTCAGCAGCCTCTTCCTCTTTATGGGATGATCAGATGGAAACATACCAAAATACAAAAGGCAGGCTTTGGGACCATGGCCAGGAAGACTAGAGAAGCTGTGGATAAGCACCCTTCGCATTCTCTCCAATGTATCATCCTGCTCCAGATGACGTCTAAGATCTCTACACACATCTTCGCAGTTGGGTCCTGTGGGCCAACCATTTTTCCTCAAGAATTGACCCATGGTAACAAGAGCAAGTGGTTGGCCATCACATTTCTTCATAACTTCTTTTGATTCTGGTCGAGTATAACCTGAATATTTTGTTGGGCAAGCTTTCTTGATAAACAATTGCTCTGAGTGTTTATTGCCAAGTCTTCTCATTTTGTGCACATAACCATTAGAAGAGCTGCAAGCATTAGCCACTGACTGGATAGTTGTTGTCACCATTACTCTGCTGCTAACAACATTATCTTCTGGGAAGGCAGCTTCAATGGTACTCCACTGATCTGTTTGCATGTCGTCAATTACAATGAAATACCTATAAGAGAAATTGTCAACAAAAAGTTAATAGACCCAGCTGACGACAGCATATATCAAAACGTGCAGAGCAAACATAGTCTCTATCCTCAACAATCAGTGTGTCGAGTAAACACCGTTTCTTTCTGAATGAGTTGGTGAACACTTCTGTTTCTTGTTACTACTCAATCAGTACTATGAAGTTCGTTTGCTCTTCAGTTCAAACAAAATTAAACTCCTGTTCTCTATCAGAAAAGATAGTTTGAATGAGTTATGTTTTGGGATGGTTGTTAAGCGTGAAGAACAGGAAGCTAATAAATTTCGAAATAGATACTGTTCTAAACTCGAAATTAAAAATGAATAAAAGAACAGTGAGAAATGTATGCAAAAGACTACCGACTTTGTCAACACCAAAAGCTTTTCAATGCTAATTAAGCTAAGATCCTGGATTCACTTGGTATTACACGTTTATTAGGTCTTGAGAGTTCAGAGAGGCAATCTGGACATGGAAACCCGTAATTGGGTTCATGAACAATCTGCAGAAATAAATAAGGTAAAAAAGGAAGATTTTTTTACCTTTGCTCACCCAAGTGTTTCCTGAGATCTACCGTAAGCTGGTCAACACTAGAGTTATCCACCACTGGCCTGCCAAATTTTTGGAGGATCTCCATGAGCACCTCTCTCGGACCCCTGTCAGTAGCAGAAACCCACGCCCGCAGACTGAACTGCCGGCCGACGTCGCTCTCGTAGAGCTCTCTGGCAAGGACGGTCTTGCCGGAGCCATGGATCCCGACGATGGAGATAACCTTGAGGTGCTTTGTTAGTCCCTCTGCCTCCTCGGTCAACTGCTGCACAAGCTCGTCCCTGGGACCGTCGATGCCGACGAGGTCGGCCCGAAGTGTGTGCGGATCAGATCCAGACGAACAGGAAGACGATTCAGCGTGCCGGGTTGAGGAGGAAAGGCCGGCGGCGGCGAAGACCCTGTACCTCTTCTCCCTCTGGTGCGCCTCCTCCGGTATCTTCTTCAGGACCTGGACCTCGGCGGCCAGCCGCTGACGGGACAGCAGAGTCTTCGGCGACCGTACGGTCCGACGAAACAAGGATGCTTGCTGCTCCCGGGTAACATGATACAGGAAGCGATCTACGCAGTCCTCGATGTGATGAGCCAGTTCACGCAGCTCGTCAATTGACAGGCTCAGCACAGCTCCCTGATCCTTCCTCCCCAGCGAGATCTGTTCATCGATTGTAACAGCGATCATACGGAGCTCTTTCTCCAGGGATTTGATGTCGCTCTTGAGGCCCTTGTGCAGCTTGTATTTCCCTTCTACCAGTGAGAAGAGCCTCGGCAGGATGGTTTTGATGAACCCGCTCAACAGAGCGGCCTCCATCCCCGTCTCTCTCTCTCCCCAAAACTAGAGCAGAATGATCCGCCACTACCCCGGAAGAGATTAGCTACCAGTCTACCACTACGGCACTACCACCAGGCACATAGAGGACAGTAGACCATATCTAAGGGCGTCGTCACTGGACAGTAGCTACCTCACCCACGTCGTGTCACTGTCACTTTATTATATGAACCCTGCATATAATTACTTTTTATTCTACGTCTTACTTTCTTCACTCTCCTCTCTTTAAGAGTAGGCTCATAGGCTATCTTGTATTCTAAATGAGATAGGCGTGGAGATAAGAGATAAATTTTTTTTTTCTATCTTATTTTTCTTCCACAGAAAAATAATACTGACAAGAGTTTCTACATGCTAGCTAAAGTGGCATTGTTGGAGATGCTCTAATAGTTCGGCCCCTAGCCCCCATCTAGACTGATGGTTTCCTTGCACAATGATGGCTCATATAGATGGCCAGAGATATGTTGGAATGGAACATGATTGATTACCTGCTCTGTTGTACCCCACACACTAAGCGTGTGTTTGATTTGAAGACGAGGTAGGATAGAATGATTATATCCTTGTTTTTTTAGGATAGGATCGTTCTGGCTAGTGTTTGGTTGAGAGAGATGAGTCCATCCCTATTTTTTCTTTGGTTGCGGTTAGGAATGGCAGCAGGTCGGGTCTAGACCCAAAATCTAGGGGGTTTAGACCCGGTGGGGTCGGGGGCGGTTCTAGTTTTGGCCTCGTGGGTCTTCGAGTTCGAGGACCCAGAACGGGGCAGGGCGGAGGTGAGTTTTGATTCTCCCCCACGGGTGCCCAGTGGAGACCCGAAGTTAACAAAACCCACAACAAAGCCCAGTGGCTAGCCCAACCATGGAGCAAGTAACCCTAGCTATTTATACCAAAATGACTTTGATCGGTTGACCCTCCTCTCCACACACCCCTGCAGCAGCCACACAACATCAGCATCCAGACTTCTAGACTGCCGCAGCCGCACAACATCACCATCGCCGGAGCATCACATGGACAGGGCAGCTGCTCCGACGGAATCTAGCCTCCTCCGCGCCGTCCGCCCTTGCCAGTTCGCGCGCGGCGCGCCGCCGCCACCACGAGCGGACGTGGGCCACGTGGCTCACCGGCTCCGCCTCTGTCGGTCCACCCCCTGGCGAGCACGAGCATCGAGCGAACGCGGCTCTGCCGGCCACCATATAATTGCAAAGAGTGATGATACTGTATAGATTCGTACAGAGAAAAAAAATAATGCCATTGTTGAGACGTACCAGCTTGCTGCGCCATAATCTGCAATTTATGGCCTTAACAACAAAAGATCTGTAATTTATATGATACTAGCCTCATAGTAATGGGCTGTAGGTGCAACCAAACTGACCATGGGCAATCATGGATCAATAGGTGTAAGAAGACACATTTCCATTCTGAGCAATTGACAACTCGGTTAAACCACGCGCGACCTTTGGGAAACCAATATTACTGAAAGCAGGGTTCCGTTCATCTTTTGAACTTGGCTGATCTGCACAATTCTTCTGTTTCTCAGGAGCAGCAGGCGGCCCCTGGTTAACTTTCATCTGAATGTCATACTCTTGTACAGCAACCTCTGATGTGGGAGAAGTTTCCTTAGCCTCACTCACAGCTGGCATTGAAGCAACAGAACAGTCTGCAGCCTCACTTTCGCTTTCATCAGCTGCGTTGACCAACAATACTTTTGGCCTGTTTGGATGCTCCTTGGCAGCTTTTTCCCAGGTTTCTCTTGTTTCCGGAGCGACTCTATGATCTAGACTGACTTCCTTCAGACATATGAGGCGGTTGATTTCGATGTCAGCAAGACCAACTAGGTCTTTGCAGATTAGCTTAAGTGAGATGAGGTATGGCAAAGCTCCTTCTTCAATTGTTGGTAACGTGGCACGTTGCAGGACAAAACACAGGTGTAGCAGCCCGGGGAATGCCTGATCTTCAATGATAAAATCTTCAAGCACATGCGCAATCAGCTTGAGATGCTTCAAGTCTTTCAAGTTAGCCAATGCTGCAAGGAGGCCCGCTGTCAATTTCTTTGATGAAAGGCACAACTCCCGGAGACCCCGCATCGATATGACAAACTAGGGAAGTTCCAGCAAAGTCCCCTTTAACTTCAATGACCTAAGGTAACAAGGAGCCTTCAAAGAGTTCAGGATGTTTTCAGTACCGTCATCGAAATGAAGTGATAGAGAACGGGGATCATTACTCTGTTCTTTGTCATCATGGATGAACTTTTGGACAGCATTCACAACATCGGTGAAGTTGGTGCTTCTCTCACTCCTCTCAAGCCATATCTTAAGCTTTCTCAAATTCCTCATGTAATTCATGATTTGTGGAAATCCTTGACACCCATCCGTGACAAATACTGCAAGTGTCTCTAGGTTACTCTGTTCAATCAAAAAAAACTTCTGCATGTCACTTGTTATCTTGACTTTATCAGAAAGTGGAACTTGCCAAACAGATGGAGTAAACAGGGGAGCAGGAGGACCTCTATAGGTAGTATTTTCACCTTTGTTCTCCTCAAGTCAAGTGTCTCCAAAAGCTTCAATTTTTCTATCTCCTTTGGAAGACTTTTAATAGTTTCCCCAAGGCTCAGATATTTCAGAAGAAAAAGGTTGCATATGTCTTTGAGGTGATCATCTTCCAGGTCGGTACATTGTTCAAGATCCAAGACTCTCAATAGCTCGTACTTTCGGAAACTCAAAATAGTTTTGCCAGCCTCCCCAAAAACCATCAGAGATCTGACAAGAGATAAGTCAATGTCCAAAGAGCTTCCACTTGTAGTATCTTTGCTTGACCAAGGAAGCAAGGCACAACGATCTATTTTGGCACTTGAGAAGGTTATAGCTGATGATATCATCTGTTGCCGTGATGCTACATTTGTCATTACTTGTGTCCTGTCCAGCTCTAACTTTGAGTTTTGTGTTTTCAGGAAATTGCACATCTTAGTCAGTTTCAACATGAAAATATAGTGCAGTATTATGGAACTGATAAGGTGCTCTGCTTTTTTTTTTTATAATTTTGATGTTTATGTTTCAGTACAGTATTATGTCTTAGCAATATTGACCAACTCGTGTGATCTATTTATGTTTCAATGCAGGAAGAATCCAAATTCTATATTTTTGTTGAGCTTGTGACACAAGGATCTCTTTCATCCCTCTATCAAAAGTATAAACTACGAGAATCACAAGTCTCTGCGTACACAAGGCAGATTCTTAATGGATTGGTTTACCTCCATGAGCGAAATGTGGTTCACAGGTACTAAGCTGCCCATCATCTAAAATTTATTGGGGATGGTTTAGTTTTAATGCCTGCATTGGTATGCTGTAGTGGTGACACCATGTTTTCCTAGACCTTTCATCCATCAAGTTTTTTTTTTGTTTTGTTTTTTTGGGAGCGAGGTGGGTGGGGGTTGTCAGCCCATGGATCATACATTTCTGTTGTAGGGCCTTATCCCCTGCGTGTCTGTTCTTGGGTGGCATGTGAGTTTGAGATTCAGAGTTGCTAATACACTATAGTCTTGTTGGAGTGACAACCTGAACACCTTGTTAGCTCACTATCAGCATTTTTGGTAATCCAGATCAAGGAAAAACTTGAATTCATTATTCGAACCTGGCAACAAGCTGCTTTTCCGGATTATTCTAAAACTTGTCTAAATGTACAACCTAACCTGAAAATTGTGTGTATCTATAGTATCCTTTCATTTGGTGCAGTAATTTCATTCAGCTGAAACAATTGCTTGTATGCAGAGATATAAGATGTGTCAATATATTGGTCCATGCAAACGGATATGTAAAGCTTGCAGATTTTGGATTGGCAAAGGCGGTCAGCCTTCATCTTTTTGCTCAGTTATTTTCATCCTCTTAATGTGAATTCTTATGCTGGAAATTTTCTTGTTCAAGTTTCAGATGTCAAATACATGCAAAACAAGTGTTTACTGGATGGCACCTGAGGTAAAGGTTGCTTAATATTCGAGTGGCATTCTTGCAAAAGATAACAAACTAATGGCAAATTTGCAATTACGGTTAATTTTTTCTAGGATGATAATAGTGTAGTATCTGTCGACTGGAACTAACTCACCTTCTCATTTTCAGGCTGTTAATCCTAAAAAGATGCATGGGCCTCCAGCTGATATATGGAGCCTTGGCTGCACCGTGTTGGAAATGCTAACCCGGCAAATACCATTTCCTGATGTTGAGTGGGTATATCATCTTTGACTTTACCGTTTATAGTTATGTAATATTGATTTACCCATCCCTTTTCAAACACCGGCAAGTTTAAATATTGTGTGTGGGCCTTATTTGATATTTAGTATGATAAACATTTAGACAAGAAGAGTCTAGAAATATATTATTTATTGGACTTTGCAATAAGAAACACTAGAATGTCAAAACTTCCTCCCTTTTCTGTTTTATTAAAGGGAAACTTCCCTTTATCTGTCAAGTAAAGTCAACTGTGAAAGTCATTGTTGCTTATTTTCCTTGCAATCTAGTATATTACATCTTCTGTAAATTTTAATTGGAATTACAACTATCGTATCCTTTTTTTAACATAAAACTGGCAGGAGGTTTTCCAAAAACAATTGTATCCTTGTGGCTACAAAGATTTATTGATGCTGTTTCAACGATGGCCTTTACTTGATTTTTTTAGCACTTCGTGTGACAAACTGAGAATAGAACCTTTACTAGTGTGTGAGATCATATACATTTGCATTGTGCTTCTCGTTTAATAATGTTTTAAGTCGTTAAAATCATTGCTTATTTTCCTTGCAATCTAATATATTGCATCTCTTGTAGTTTTTAATTGGAATTACAACAATTGTATCCTTGTTTTTTCAATATAAAATTGCAGGAGTTTTGCCAGAAACAATTGTATCCTTGTGGCTACAAAGATTTATTGATGCTGCCTCAATGATGGCTTTTCATTGATTTTTTAGCACTTTGTGTGAGATTAGAACCTTTACTAGTGCGTGAGATCATATACATTGTGTTTCTCAATAACTTTTTAAGCCGTTGAAGCCGTAGCTAGTTTGTGTAGACAAAAGCTTTATACATGATTTTGCTTTGTTTCTTGTAGACAAAAGCTTTATACATGATTGGAAGAGGGGAGCAACCTCCTATTCCAAAGTACCTGTCAGAAGAAGCGCAAGATTTCATTTGCCAGTGTCTAAGAGTTGATCCAGAGACCCGGCCTTCCGCATCACAACTTTTGGAGCACCCATTTGTTAAGAGGCCACGGAATACAGTCACAAAGTTCACGAAACGATTGGGTCATGGAACAAGAATCGTGGAACATGGTACGCTCCGGAACGCTCTTTGAGAAAAGATTTTTCACCGTCGGAACGAAGCTGATCCACGTTCCCGGAACGGGAACACACGTTCCCGGGATGCGGAACGTGGCACCGTACCATGTTCCCGGTGACTGTGCTGCGGATTCAGAAAAAATGCTAGTAGAGGCTCCTTCCTCTCATATTCTACCTGTAGCTCCTCCACCTAAGCTTCTATGGCTGCAAATTTGGATGGAGAAAGGGTGGCTTAGGAGGGTCTTGAGCCCCACCTGACCCAATGCTAGATCCTTCCTCCTATTTGAATCTTCATCTCTCCTGCCCTCCACTTGTAATGCTTATAGTGGGGTGTGTTACCGGTAAGTTTCTTCTTTAACCCCTATTAGAAGAATGGTCTAGCTTGCATGACCCCATCTTTCGAGTTTATTTAGTTAAATATATTGTTTTTCATCGTTTGTAATCTTAAGGGCATGTTTGGTTGGTGCCGCAGTTTGCCACCCCAAATCTTCGGCAAACTGTGGATACCAGAGAAAGTTTGGCGAGGAAAATTGGAGCCACACTTGTGGTAAAGTTTGGCAAGAAAATGAGTCTACGACGTGTAGGACAGGGTGCTAAGAAAGTGTGGCACGCCGTAGCTGTGGCAGCGAACCAAACAGCTGCGAGAAAAATATGACATGACTAACCTGGGGCATGGCACGTTACGATCACGAACCACACATAGTTGATCAGTTCCGTCCGTGTTTCTTAGGTCTTCTTGATTGTGGACCTGGTGCTGGAAAGGAACGAACTTGTGCTTGTTCAGGAGTTTAGCATGTGTAGTCTTCGGATGGCGAGCTTTAGTATCGGATGGTTTTTCTTCTTGAGCTCTTTCGGTAGGCTTTGTACAGTAACTCTTGGTAGGTAAAAGGTGTCAAATTGCCGGCGAATCTGTGATACAGTGATGTAGAGTTAACTATTAATTTTGCAAATATATACACCATGGCTTGTTCCTCAGAAAACTGGTAATTTTTTTTTTACTTTTCTCATTGTCATATGTCGCTATTTTTTTTGTATGTTGTCATATGTCGCTATTGATCAGCAGGAGTGCGTAGAGTAGGATTTATCTGTAATGTTCCTTTTCATATGCTTACTTTTTTTTATCTTAAAAAAAATTCTTTTCATACGCATGACAATTCTTATCACGGAAAAGAATATCCAAAATGTTCCTGTCCATATAGCATGTGTTTGCGACCTTGAGTCGCTGGATCGGAATCGGTGAAGCCTGAAGGAGAAGTAGAGATAGAACTCCAGGCCGACGAGGTCCTGGCTTTAGATCGAAGGAACAGTGTTTGTTGTTAGAAGTTTGTTACCGTCTCTGCCCTCACTCCCTGCCTTTCTACGTACTCTTTCTTAGCGGGCTCACAAACGTTACATACCCATTGCGGGCCGGGCCACCCACTCTGGAGTTGTTGGACCGGGCCCTAGCACTACGCCGTGGTCTTGGTACTTCTAGTGACGGGCCCAGATGAGGGACTGACAGCATGCCAGTGAAGTTGGTGTTCACCCACCACGCCCTGGGTCTACTCCAGATGTAGAGCAAGAGCTCCGGAGCCTAGTGGCCGGGTCTTGCTCTTGCCCAAGCGTGGAAACCATCGGTGCTCGGCCAGTGCCAGATCGCTAGTTCCCGCCACCGACAGCTGGAGGTTCCGGGGCGCAGGATGGTGGGCGTGACGGTCCCCGTCTCCCCGAGTACACGCCGAGTTCGCGCACACGGGCACATCGCGGTGGCCACCCGATAGCATCGCG